AGATCAGTTATACCAATCAAGTTTGATGGTAAGTGTTGAGCCAGTGTCAAGCAACTTACGTTTTAGGTGATGTCTGTACTTACCACATGTTCTTTCTGACCATGATTCAATCTCTCTTTGAAATTCAGTTCCTGTTTTCAGGTTCATTACATTATAGAACGAACTATCCTGATTTTCATCATCACTGTAACTGAACGTTGAAACAATTTGTAGTAGATCATCAGGCTGTTCCATTTTCACTTAAACAGACATGTTCTAAAATCAAACAAAGCTTGAAAGGGTTAACCGAAAAAACAACTAATGTTAATATTACATACAGTCCCCCCAGTTCACTAACTTAAAACATGATGATGTGATTAATAAACCTAACATTTCAAATTTAGTTATGTAGGTAAGCAGTCCTAAGTCAAACAAAAAATTGACATACAACACATTGAAACAAGAAAGACTCAACAATGACTTTCTTATTTATCCAAACTGAAAATAAAAATATTGAACTTCATGTTGATATTCTACTGCAGCAAAGCATCAGAGATATCTGAAGAAAACATTGGGCAATACACAGTTAGAAAAATAAAATATTGTTACGTCTCCGTTCGTTAGTTAATTTCCCTTTTATTTAAGAAAGGACTTATGTCGCTAAAGTTTCGTTGGAACGAATTTACGGAAAATTAATTAACGTACGAAAGGAGACGTAACAGTATTGTTCGTCCCGAACAATAGCCACTTACATTAAACCAATAACAATTAACAATAACTTAATTAAATGTACAGAATTACATAACACAAAATTACAAATCAACAAAGTCTCTTAATTTTACGGGACGTATCTTCTTCCGTACTGGTCTCCGTCTCGTTGGCTTCTGCTTCATATGGGGTTCATCTGCTTCATCAGGAAATGTTGTATCGTCGATAACAGTCACATCTGTGATAGTAACTTCATCAAGAGCTTCACCGTTTCCCTTCTCAAAACTGAGCAGAGTTTCTTCTTCAATGGTGGCTTCTTCAGGTGGCACGTCTTCAGCAGCATCATTTGTTCTGTTGTCCACTTCGTCCCAACTGAAATGTCCTGGACCGTGATAACGCCAAAGCCTGTTGGCATGCACCACTTTTGGCTTACCTCACCAACCATATTTTATCCGGAAAGTCACGTCTGAGAAACGATCCACTATGTCATAGATACTGTACGAGTGGGAAGATTCAAAATGTATGTTTGTATGTGAATGTGTTTCTTTGTAACATGTACTAGTGGTCAGATGGTCACCTTGTATGTATAGATTAATGTAGGTTTGTGTGTGAATGTGTTTCTTTGTAACATGTACTAGTGGTCATATGGTCACCTTGTATGTATAGGTTAATGTAGGTACGTGTGTGAATGTGTTTCTTTGTAATGTATACTAGTGGTCAGATGGTCATCTTGTATGTATATGTTAATGTCCAGAAAGGGGAGTGTTGTGTTGGATATTACTAAGTAAATTCTACAAAGAGGTGGAAAGAAGAAACAAAGAGCAGAAAATTTAGTTCCCCATAGTGACTCCACAGAGTCATTCTTCAGTCTTCTTTAAATCAAAATATAAAAACTTGGAAATTGTTCTATCTATTACATGATTTTGTTAAAACATGTTTACATTCTGGTGTGCAATACAATACTTCTGGACTAGCAATATTACTACTGTAACAAGAGCTCTAATAAGTCTATTCACAACAATGCATCAAACTTGTAGTGAATTTCTTCAGCTCGTGACTACAAACATGTCATCATTGATTATATGCCAAACAAACAAATTCCAGAAAGACATAATTACAGCTACATATTTTCTTTAATTACACAACTGTAAAAAAGTTTAATTACGTCAATTTTCTCTGATGCTACATCACAAGTTGTTTCTTTATTTTCTGTTTTATCAAACTTCAAAACAGTAAGTAGAAAACTTTCTTCCAAGGAATCAACTTTTCCTGGAGCTAGAAGTAAAAATTGTGTTGGTTAGTCTATAACAATATTCAACATAATTTATGTTTAAAATAAATGATAATCAAAGTTCACACAATATATTTATAAGAATAGGCTTCTTCTATAACTTCTTACTTGTCATACAAGTGCATGAAAAAGAACTGATTTGCAGCAAAGGGCAGGTTCTGAAAATATACCTGGACTGTCAGACACATTTTCCTTTACCTGGTAGAAGAATGCTCTCTATGGAGAAGTACAGTAATTACAGAGTAGACATATGTCTGAATTTAAAATACCCATCATCCAAAACTGTCAAATGGAGAAATTCATGCAAGCAGTTAAGTCATCCGGGACATCGATCCTGCAATGGATATCTCATAGTTCCTGTAACGATAAGGGTACACCATATGCTTGATTTTAACATTCTTTTATTCCTTTTCTCAGTGTTCCCATTGCAATGATGTTGCATTCGAAGAACCACCTGATTCTTTTTACTTCTTAACTATGAGTGTATTAGTGAATTGTCTGTTTATGTTTATGATTGTTCTACAAGTTTGGTTCATGAATGTTGAGTCACTTTTGGTTCTCTCAGTGTTATTTACAATTCAAGTCAATGCCAATATAGTGGAACATTCTCCTTATTCACCTTGTAAATAAGCCTGGTCTTTTCCCAAATTCTCGTTGTCTTACATTTCCTAGGAACAGAAATTATAAACTAACTTTATTTTCATGGCACTTAGTTTATCACTCATATGTTTGTTAATACAGATATTGAGCCCATTTCTGTAATACAAGAGGGTGTGGTATTCCAATGTGACTTAATTTTCATGTGTGTATGAGAATTCCTTCATAACAGCAGGTTTGAATAGAAACTTTACAGTAAATGTAATTGAAAACTTAACTGAGTTTTGTACCTCTATCAGAAATTAAGGACACTGGACACTCAGAATATAGTTCCACAGCTTTCCATCTCTGGAGACTGATTTCTGTACAACTATATTCAAGCATGAACTGGGTTCAACTGAGAAAGAATGAATGCTTCAATCATGCAAGAAAACTTGTATCCTCTCACTTGTGATGGCTTCATGATATTTATGGTTTCCCACCTCAGCATGTACATCCACAAATAGCATTTTGAGATGTCAGAAACATGAAGTATAAATATGTTGATTAATGAGGGCCAACAAAGCATCAATGAGATTCTTTTACCCTCATAGTCAGCCCAAATATGTTGTTCAATCACAGCCAACAAAGCTCTGGTGAAATCCTCGTACACCCATTTGGACCAAGATACATTTATTGCTGATTATGACTACATACAAGAGTAAAGTATGTAACAAATCTTTCTAAATCCATTGTTTGATCCAATTATGTTAATCACTGAGTGCCAACAAAGCAACAAAGGGGGTTCCCTGGTCGAATAGGCAATAAGGTCTCAATTAAAGAAGCTTCCAAAACAGTCAATAAGTCACATGCAAGATGGGAATGCGGTGAATATGGGGTCATTTTAGCCTCATTCTCAGGTGATGGTATAGAACAAGATTACAAATGTGTCACAAATTCATGTTTTCGACATCAAATACCAAAATAACTGATAGAATGCAGCCTAATTATACTTATTGATATAAATCCTCAAGACAGAAAATTAAAATATCTATAGAATAAGAAATTTCCAATTACCTGCTCGAGACGGGTTACAGGTGAAAGGTCGTGTCATCTTATTTGTTGATTCACATTAAAAATTTTATTGAATTACTATTTCATGAATTTATG